AGAGGGACAGCTGGGGGAGGCTCCACGGTGGATGCGGGGTGCCCTGCCCCTTCGTGGTGGATGCGGGGTACCCTGACCCTTCGTGGTGGATGCGGGGTGCCCTGACCCTTCTCAGTATGGAGTGATGGCTCATCGGACCCTCTCCCAATCCCAGATTGACCTGATCCACCTAGGAGCAAAGTTTTCACCCTGCATCCGGAAAGACCGGCAAATTGAGCAGCTGGTGCAGAGGGAGCGTGACATTGAGCGTGCCTCAGGCTGCTGTGTCCAGAATGACCGCTCAGGTTGCATCCAGACCCAGAAGAAGGACTGCTCGGTGGGTCCAGTCCCCTGACCCTGGCGGCCCCCACACATGGCTCCCTCCCTCTCCAGCCCAGCCGGCACGCCCAAAGCCGGGCTTGGAAAGTTGGACAGACTGGCTCCTAGGAAGTACCTGAGCCCTGGGGAAATGGGAATAGTCCTTGTCCAGGAGGGTCCCCTGCCCACACCCCGCACCCCTGAGTGACACTGCCCTGGTGTGACGTGACCTCCTCTCCACCATCTAGGAGACTTTGGCCACTTTTGTGAAGTGGCAGAATGACACTGGGCCCTCAGACAAGTCTGAGGACCAGAAGCAGCCGTCAGCAGTCGTATGCCACCAAGACCCCAGGTACAGCCTAGAGCCACCTACGGGTCCAGAGTGGCACCCAGTTATCGGAGCCCTCTGGGATGCTGGCGGGTGGGTGTGGCAGACGGGGGTCACCCAGAGAGCTTCCTTTCATCCAATCAACCACTGGTTTCAGGACCTGTGAAGAGCCAGCCTCCAGTGGGGCCCACATCTGGCCGGATGACATCACCAAGTGGCCGGTGAGTGGGAGGCTCATGCAGAAGGCTGTGGGATGAGGGTGGGGACATTTGGCTTCCTGTCACTGAGGCCCACCGCCGCTGGCTCCCTCTCTCCTAGATCTGCACAGAGCAGGCCCAGAGCAACCACACGGGCTTACTGCACATAGACTGTAAGATCAAAGGCCGCCCCTGCTGCATCGGCACCAAGGGCAGGTGAGCCAGCTCCCGACCCCTGTAGGCTGATGGGTCCCCGTAGCTGCCCTCCATTCTCCGCTCTCGGGTGGTGCGGAGGCAGGGGTGAAGGGGACGGTGGACAGAAAGGGAGGGGGTGGTGAGATATAGAAAAGAGAGCTTGTTCCGTCCTGCCTGCCATGGCCAGATGCTGGGCGGGCTCTTAGCCTAAGTGGGCAGGGGCCCTCTGGAACGCTCATGCCCTGTCTGCTTCCTGTCCACAGCTGTGAGATCACCACGCGCGAGTATTGTGAGTTCATGCATGGCTATTTCCACGAGGAGGCAACGCTCTGTTCCCAGGTAGGCAATGCTGCCTGGGTAGTGGAAGCTGCAGGGGTGCTAAGACTCGCCGGATCCTCCCCACTGGGAAGCCCCACACCTGACCTGCCTCCTAAGGCAGCACTAACGACCTGTGCCCCCCACCCAGGTACACTGTTTGGACAAGGTGTGCGGGCTACTGCCTTTCCTCAACCCTGAGGTCCCCGACCAGTTCTACCGGATCTGGCTGTCTCTGTTCCTGCACGCTGGGTAAGAGGTGCCTCGCTGCCCCTTGCCTTCCCACTTAGACGCTGGAGAAAGGACTTCTGGCCCCAGCACAGCTGGCTCAGCCTGCCAGTGCCGACTGACCCTGGGGTAGGCCCGGCTGGTCGCCGTGGGCACACAGGGAGGACTGATGACGCTCGCGTCTCTGCCCCCAGCATCCTGCACTGCCTCGTGTCTGTGGTCTTCCAAATGACCATCCTGAGGGACCTAGAGAAGCTGGCCGGCTGGCACCGCATCTCCATCATCTTCATCCTTAGCGGCATCACAGGCAACCTGGCCAGCGCCATCTTCCTCCCCTATCGGGCAGAGGTAGGGCAGAGAGAGGGTGGGATGCGCCCTTTCCTTTTGGGCTTGAAGCAGTGTGGTGTGGGGGGGCGGGGGGCGGGGGGACCAACCCACTGCTTCTTGCTCCAGTCCCACCCCAGGATCTGCAGCCAGGGCACAGAGCCCCTGTTGTGTCAAGCTTAGCTACAAGAAGGACAGTTAAGCTGGGACTTACTGTTTGGCCCCTTCCTTCTTGGGGGGGACACGACAGAGGTGGTCTGGAGTCACCAGGGATCCCCCACTCCTTGCTCACTGTGGGGCTCCCCAACCTCAGGAGGAGGGGGCGTCTCTTGATCGTTCACCTGTGCTCTGCCCCCTGCCTGTGGTCTCTGAGCAGGCTGGCTTGCGCTAAGCACAGGGGGGGGGAGGTCCCACAGCTCCCGCAGGCCCCCATCCTCTGAGTGCGTGGCGCGTCCTCGGTACTAAGTCGGCGAGCCTCCTCTCTCCTCTCCCCGACCCTAGGTGGGCCCAGCCGGGTCACAGTTTGGCCTCCTTGCGTGCCTCTTCGTGGAGCTTTTCCAGAGCTGGCAGCTGCTGGAGCGGCCGTGGAAGGCCTTCTTCAACCTGTCGGCCATCGTGCTTTTCCTTTTCATCTGTGGCCTCCTGCCCTGGATAGACAACATCGCCCACATCTTCGGCTTCCTCAGCGGCCTGCTGCTGGCCTTTGCCTTCCTACCCTACATCACCTTCGGCACCAGCGACAAGTACCGCAAGCAGGCACTCATCCTGGTGTCGCTGCTGGTGTTCGCCGGTCTCTTCACCTCCCTGGTGCTGTGGCTGTATATCCACCCCATTAACTGGCCCTGGATCGAGTACCTCACCTGCTTCCCCTTCACCAGTCGGTTCTGCGAGAAGTACGAGCTGGACCAGGTGCTACACTAACTGTGTGGAGATGGGGCCCGCCCCCGGGGCCGTGTGTCCCTAGAGACTTGCTGACCATGGGGCCATGAGCCGGGGGTAAGGGGGCTCACTCTCCAGACAGTGCTGACTCCATATGTGACAGGTAGTAAAGGCAGGTAGATTCCCCCCAGGGAGATGACACCTCCCTTTCTCGGGCCTGAATGTCCCTGACCCAAGTTTGGGGGACATCCAGAACGCCCGTTTCTTCACAGCTCAGGTCCTAGGCCCCTGCTGCCTGCCTTTCTTCCCAGGGCTCAGGGCTCTGCAGGTGCCGACTTCCTGCTGCCACTGTGACTGACCTCACCACTTGTCCCCAGGTTGAGGTCCCACCATGCTGCTATGACCCTCTTCCTGTCTCTCCTCCCTGTCCTACACTTGTTCCTGAGTTTGTCCGTGGAGTCATGAGATTGCTCCTGAGGGCCCTGGGACAGTGTGTGGGAGAGGCTGTGGCCACTGTCTAGGGGCAGGGACAAGCGAGGAGAGGCCGCTATAGGGGTTTGCTAAGGGCTTTTGTTAAGCAAAGAAGCCAGATCTCGTAAGCCACCAGCTCAGCCCTGGCTCCAGCGTCTCTGTCTGGCCTCACAGGTCGGTTCTGACGCCCGAATGTCCCCCCCACCTCAGCCTCACTCCTGCCTGTGTGGCCAGGTGCTGAGCCACCTTGAGGACTGACTCCCAGGAAATACTTGAGGCTCACCCAGGGCTGGTGTTTTGTTTTGTTTTGTTTTTCCAATTTATATATTATGGTCCTGATTTTTTTTTTAAAGTAACGCTAACTTTGTATCTCAAGTTTGTTAAATGGCATTCTCTATTCAGTGTCTCTAAAATACTGCTTTTAGCTCAGGCCTCTCGGAGAATGAAATGAGAACTTGGAGCTGGAGAGGTGGCTCACTTCCTGCCCTTGAGCTGGCCCCGGGTTCAGGTCCCAGCACCCATGTCATGGCTCACACACACTACTGACCTTCAGCTCCAGGGGACCCCATGCTCACCTCTGGCCTCTGTGTGCCCCTTGTCACACAGACACACACGCACATATATAAAGATGAATATTTATTAAAAAAATACTCAAGCCAGGCAGCAGTAGTGGACACCTTTAATCAAGAGGCAGAGGCAGGCAGATCTCTGCATTCAAGGCCAGCCTGATTTACAGAGTGAGTGCCAGGACAGTCAGGGCTACACAGAGAAACCCTGTCTCAGAAAACAAACAAACAAAAATCCCTCAGACTGGAGAGATGAAAAGCATGGGCTGCCCTTGCAGAAGACCTGGGTTCCGTTCCCAGCACCCACGTGGCAGCTCACCGGGAACTCCAGTTCCAGGGGGTCCAACTCCATCCTCCATCTGGCCTCCACAGATACCTGCATGTGTGTCTGGTACACGGACAGACATGCAGACACGAATACGTAAACTTTTTTTTGATTTTGAAAGCCAGGCATGGTGGCACTTGAGGGTAGCCTGGTCCACATAGTAAGTTCTAGACCAGCCTGAGCTACCTAGTAAGACCTTTTCTTTTTTTTTTTTTCTTTTTTTTTTTTTTCTTTTTTGTTTTTTTGAGACAGGGTTTCTCTGTATTGTTTTGGAGGCTGTCCTGGAACTCGATCTGTAGACCAGGCTGGCCTCGAACTCACAGAGATCCACCTGCCTCTGCCTCCCGAGTGCTGGGATTAAAAGTGTGGGCCTGGCCCAAAAGTATTATTTTTTAACTTAAAATAGTCACGAGGCTGAGGCAGACTGGAGAACTTGGGGTTTCGCTGGCATTTAGTTGAGCCCCAAACCAGATTGCAATCATCACGAAGTTGCCAGGAACCCTGACAGGCCTGGGCCACATGTGGAGCCCTGAGATCTCAACTCCAGCTGCTCTGCCTTTGCACCCGGGCAGTGGGTAGGAGGGCTGACCATCTGCAGAAATGGCCTGTTCCCTGGGGGCAGAGTCGCTCTTGGCGGGAGGTCAGGTGGTGTTTGCTATTCCAGTCAGCTCACTCAGGAGACCCTGCACACACCCATATGTCACAGCCACCGGGGCGCAGCTGCTTTATTAGGACCAGGCTAGAAGGCGAGCCTGGGCAAGCGGGTAGGCAGGGCTCACTGGTGCCCGAGTGCAGTGGGCGTGACCCTGCAAAACTCCCCTACCTCGAGGTTTCCACCATTCACAGGTCCAAGCCCCAGGCCCTCCTCAAATTCAGCTCCTGGCTGGCCCTCATTCCCAGTTAGGATCCAGGAAGGGGTGTCAGTCTGGGGAGAGCAAGGACCCCAAGAATCAGGGCGCTGCACTGGGGTGCGGAAACAGAGCTGGTAGAGGCAGAAGTGTGTGGGGACAGACCTCCCACCGCTCTGGTTTCCCATCCTGGTCTTGGCTTTGTGCACAGTTCAGAATGCAAGAGGTCCTTTGGGGACAGATGGCAGCCTGTGCTGAGGCAGGGCCACCTCCTGCCCTCTGCATTGATCCTTACCTCTGCACTCCAGCTGGCGGCTGCCGTCTCTCCCTTCATGCTAGCCAGCTCTACTTGGATGGGCTCTAGGCAGAGGAGGGTGTGGCGTGGGAATTAGGAACCCCAAGCCTGCTGCTCCCCACCCTCTCCGTGGCCGAGTGGGCAGCTTGGGTCAGCAGCCGCTGTTCCTGCGCAGGAAGGCATGGCACCGTAAGGAGCACTGTAGCTCCATGAAGGTGAGGGAGCCCACGGTGACGGCGCACGGGCCCACCGCCTGGAAGCCAAATTTCTCATAGAAGGGCACCAGTGCGTCCTCGCACATGAGCACAGCCCGGCGCACGGCTGGCTGGCTCCCCAGGTGGTGCAGGTATCGCCACAGCAAGACAGAGCCCTTGCCCTGCTGCCGGAAGGTGCGGTGCACCGCCAGGACGTGCAGGTGGGCGGTGCGGCCTCCAGGCCTGTGCAGTGTCAGTGACTCCTGGGGGTGGGCAAGGGACAGGCGTCCGGGTTACTTCCGCTGATGCCTCCTCCTCCAAATCCAACCCTAGCCAAAAGGAAGGGTGTCCCGGGTACCGGGAGTAGCCCGGGCTCCCTTCTTACCCTGACTGGGTCCCACTGAGCTACATCTACATACAATCCTACAGACAAAGCTTCAGAGGTCTTTCGAGACGCTAAAGCAGCAGCTTCAGGTGTCACCGAAGACTATTGGGAAACGAGCGCTTACATTACGATTCATAACAGGAGCAAAACTACAGTTATAGCCGGGCGGTGGTGGCGCATGCCTTTAATCCCAGCACTTGGGAGGCAGAGGCAGGCGGATCTCTGTGAGTTCGAGGCCGGGCTGGACCGACAGCCTCCAAAACAATACAGAAAAACCCTGTCTCGTAAAACCAAAAAAAAAAAACAAACAAACAAAAAAAAACTACAGTTATAAAGTCCCAACACACAAAAAAATAATTTTATGGTCACCACAACATGAGGAACTGCTTTAAAGTGCCATGGGCGTTGGGAAGGCTGAGATCGCTGCTCTAAAGGGATGGGCCAGGTCTGCCTTGGGAGAGTCTGCTACTTGGGTTTATTCCCTGCATGGAAGGAGACTCCACCTCCGAGGAGTTGACCCTGCCCTCACCTGAGTAAGTCTCTCCTTGTCCCAAAGTGAGCCGATGATGAAGGCCACAAGGCGACCCTCCTCAAACCAGCCCAGCGACAGCTCTGGACAGAGAGTTAGGAAGTGTCGGATCTCATCCAAGTAGAGGGGACAGGTACCGGAGACAGAGATAAAGGCTGCGGCAGAAGGGCGAGGATGGGTCACCTGCCCAGTGTCCGTGTGCACAAGTGTCACTCACGCCCCCTCTAGGAAGACGTTGACTCTATGCTACACCACCTGCCCAGTGTCCGTGTGCACAAGTGTCACTCACGCCCCCTCTAGGAAGGCGTTGACTCTATGCTACGCCACCCGCCCAGTGTCCGTGTGCACAAGTGTCACTCACGCCCCCTCTAGGAAGGCGTTGACTCTATGCTACACCACCTGCCCAGTGTCCGTGTGCACAAGTGTCACTCATGCCCCCTCTAGGAAGACGTTGACTCTATGCTACACCACCTGCCCAGTGTCCGTGTGCACAAGTGTCACTCACGCCCCCTCTAGGAAGGCATTGACTCTATGCTACGCCATGTGCCCAGTGTCTGTGTGTACAAGTGTCACTCACGCCCCCTCTAGGAAGTAGGAAGGCGTTGACTCTAGGCTGTTGCCTCCTACTCGAGAGCACACATCTCTCTCTCTCTCTCTCTCTCTCTCTCTCTCTCTCCCCTCCCTCCCTTTCTCTGGAGCCTCAGGGAAGACAACAGTCACCTCCTCCGAGTACCTTCCCAAGTGCCACTCACCTTCACGCTCAATCTCAAACACGCTGATGGCATCCTGGGGGGTAAGGCAACGGAACTCGCTGGCAGGGAGTGTGTGGCGCCGCTGGCAGCCTAGGAACTCCGAGGTCCCAGGTGGCAGGTGCAGGGTGTCAGGTTTCAGGGAGTGGGGGCTCAACATGGGCATCT